CTTCCCTTCCCTTCCCTTCCCTTCCCTTCCCTTCCCTTCCCTTCCCCCAGCTCCATTTCTGTGTTGGATGAGCTGAAGCGTCTCTGCCAAGTTTTGGAATGGGTTGGGTGCCAAGGCTGGGCCGTGTGGGGGTGAAATGAAGGGTGGGAGGAGGACGGGAGCTTCTGTTCCTGGGTCTGGGAGGAAACATCTGCTCCTGGCACATGGGTTGTTCTCACTTGAGTCTTGAGGTCACCAGATCCAAGCTGAATATTGGATCATCAAATTGGGATCACCTAAGGTGCATCTCACCGTCTGAGCAGAGGGGAAAACCAGCTTGACTGGCTTTTCCCATGTTGCTGGGTGACATTTTTCCCTTCTTTGTGCCCTTGCTGATTGTTGACTGGATGCCAGGGTGGGACATACTGCTCCCTTAGGTCAGCTGGAATGTCCTGGTGTGCGGCAGGTCTGGACAGTTGTCACAATCCTCAGCAAGGTCACTCCACAGACAACATCAGCCATGGCTAAGGAAACTTTCTCAGGCTTTACCAGATAAATTTGCAGGTCTGTTAAAGACCAGAGTCTATTGTGGTGGACACCAAAGGAGATTTCAAAGCTGTATTTGTGGGAAAGTATTGGGGAAAGACTCCAGTCCAGCTGTGCAGCAGAGCTGAGAGCAATTGACTGCAGTCCCTTGCTCATGTGAGGCTCATCCTGGCATCAGCACAGCATCAGCTCTGGCTCAGGATGCTCCTGGCAGCATCCACAGGATGTCCACCTGCCTGTCTCTTCTTCCACTGTCCCCCAGCTCCATCAGTGGGAGTGTCTTGTTGATGGACCAAACCATATGGTCCAGGTCCATCTTCTCTTGATCGTGTTACAGAATTTGTGGCCCTAAAAACACTTATCATGGAGTGAGGCTTCCTTGGCTGAGAAGAGACTCCGGACTTCTCACCTGAGCTCTCCAGTCTCACCAGTTCAGTCAGGGAAAAAGGGATGTGCCAGCCAGGCTGCCTGACTGCAGTGGGACAGATGTCCCAAGGCTTTTTGTTTGATTTAATGAGGTTTTTTCTGTGATTGAAACAAGTGAACAAAAAAACCCCTTGAAGAAATAGATGGAGAATGGTCTGCAGTGAGTCACACAACCAACACCTTGTCCATGGAGGGGGGAGGACTTCCTACTCTCTGTGCTTGGCCATAAATTCACCAGGAGCAAGGTGTGCAGACCCTTCTCTGACTAGAGAAGTCTAAGGTTCTAAGTGGCTGCTTATGGCTTGGAGTTTGTCGGAGTTTGTAGGCTTTAGCAACACTTCTCAGGTGTGCTCTTTGTGTGCTTGTGACAGTTTAGGGACAGACAAGAGGATTAATGTCATGGTCCATAGACAGAACATCCCTTCTGCTGCCGCATGCATCTGCTCCAACTGGCTTCCCGTGAGAGCTGTTTGAGTTAGGAGAGGCTGTGAGGTTAGGGCTAGGGTTAGGGTTAGGGTTGGGGTTAGGGTTAGGGTCGGGTTTGGGGTTAGGCGTAGGGTTAGACTTCGACTTCGGGTAAGGGTAAGGGTTAGGGTTAGGTTTAAGTTGTGGGTTAGGGTTACAGTTAGGGTTACGGTTAGTGTTAGGGCTGCTGTGAGGTGAGGCCAAGGATGCTGGATGTTGTGGTTTTGGGTTTGGGAGTCAGCCCCAGCGGGTGTAGCAGCACAGACCTCTCAGGGCCACACACACATGGGTGTCACTGGTCTTCTTCTCCCTCAGGGGCAGCTGGGCTGGTCTGTGCAGAGACCTTGCGCCAGGAGGGTTTCTCTGACCGGATTGTGATGTGCACCATGGACAGACACTTGCCCTATGACAGACCAAAGCTCAGTAAGGTTTGTATCACTCTGGATATGCCACAGTTCCCCAGTTATAAAATTTGCTCCCCAATTTTAAAATTTGCTCTAGGGCCTTTCCCCACTATTATTCATTGCAGCAGCAAGGTTCTGTTTCATTAGTCTCTTTATTAGTCTCTCTTTCCCTTGAATTTTCTTCCCTCTTTGTGACTGAAATATAAAACACAAAAAAGGAGTTGTTCAAGCTGAATTAAGATTACTCCAGCAGAAAAACAAAGGTATTCTTCCTTGTGTGGGTGGGCAGGCCCTGGCACAGGTTGCCCAGAGCAGCTGTGGCTGCCTCTGGATCCCTAGAAGTGTTCAAGACCATGCTGGACATTGGGGTTTGGAGCAATCTGATCTTGTGGAAGATATCCCTGCAAATTGAAATGAGATGAGCCTTTAGTCCCTTGCAACCCAAATCATTCCGTGATTCTTCCATGGATGAAGTGGTAGCTCTCTTAGCCAACTTGTACCTGGATGCGACTTCTTAAAGTGTTTCTGGATGAAAAATATTTAAGGCAATGAAATGGAGCATGTGGAAAAATGGTGTTGTCTACCAGAGTTTTTATTAGTGTCTGTTTCTTGCTGCCCAGGGATGCTCTGTGCCATAATTATGATGATTCTCAGCTGTCATCACAGCTTGATAACTTGATGGAAGTGCAAATGTTGTTTTTTCTGACACACATCACATTTTGCATTCCAGTTTATAGACACAGGGTGGTCTTTAATCAGATTGTTTTGCTGCTGATTTCTGAGCCTTCTTTGATGTCAGGCAGCAGCTCAAGTTGGACAGCAGCATTTGACCTCGGAGCCTGAAGATAACATAAGGTGAACTATGTGTTCATCCTCATGGCAGGAATGCTTACCCATGGGGACTACTACAATCATACCATCTTCCAGCACCCAAAAAAAGGGATTTTCAAAGACAGGCAAACATGCACATGGCTTTTTGGGAACATTCAGGCCATTTCTGTGCTTCTGTGAGTCCTGCCTGGGGTGAAGAGCTGCTGCCTGCGACCTGCATCCAGGCATCACAGGGGTTGTGCTGAGCAGCTGGGAGAATCTGAGAGTCCCTCTCCCAGCCAGACAGCTCTTTCACACACTCATCCCCATGGTTGAGTCTTAGACTGGCTCTTCTTCTCGCTGTTAAATAGTAAGAACATTCCACACAGCAGAGATGTTGTACATGCTTTGTTAAATCCTCCACTGAGCACCTCTGGCTGTAGTTGCTTTTGAAAGCCCATGGAAGAGAAGGCAGAATTTTTGGGAAGAGGGTAGGAAAAATGGAATTTTTCTTAATCCTGTTGTGTGTGGGACTACACCTGTACAAGCTACTGGAGGAGTACCACTGTAAGCAGCAGAGCTCTTGCTCCCTGAAACTGCAGCAGTGCCCTTCCTCTGCCCTGCTGAATGCCTGTTATCAGTGTGTCCCCAGGTCCTGCTGAGCTGTTTCCCTTTGTCTCCTTTGGACCATGACCTGTGTGTTGCCACATCTCTGTTACTGTCCCCAGAGCACCAAGCAGCAGCAAAAGGCATGGTGGTTGTGTACTGTTGTGCTTTGCCCTTCCTGCACACTGTCGCAGAGGGGTCAGGTGTTTCTCTCTGTAAATGTGGAGTATTCAAAGAATTTGCAGTAAAACCTGTATGGCCCTGCCCCTGCCCCAAGTCGTGTGACAGCAGTCTCTCCTGAGCAGAGCGTTGTCTGAAGTCAGAGTGAGGTCTTGTTCTTGTTGGGCTTGTTCCAGCCCCTGACCAGGCTGCCTCCAGGGGGAAGGATCTTGCACATCCATCTCCATGGGCGAATAGGAAAGCCCTTGATTCCTGCATCCCCTGTCCCTCCTGGGTCAAGCCCAAACACCATCCCTGTGTGGCATGAGTGGATGATGCTGCTGGCACTGTGTGATCTCTAGCAGGGCTTGACCATGGCATCCCTGCCTGTTCTGCCACGCTGCAGGCAGAGAGGGGCACACGGGCAGGGTCCTGCCCACCCAACTTGGCCACTCGATGCTCAGCTTGTTCTCAGCCTGAGTCTGAGCTTGTGTCCACAGAGTCAGGAGGACAGATGAGCTCAGGCTCAACACTGTGTGTAAAGATGTACATCTCACTGCAGTGACCAGGGAAGGCTGAGAAAAGCATGAACCTTTATTTTGCAGCTCAAGATGTGCAGATATGGGCCCCACCCCCTTGCTTCAGCGTTGGATGGAACTTGTGCAGCATAACTTGGGTGCTTTTGAAAGTGAATCCTTGTGTGTTGATGCTGCTTGTTCTTACTGCTCTTCTAGCTTCCATTTGCCCTGGTAGCTGGCTGTTTTCCAAATACTCATAGAATGGTTTGAGTTGGAAGGGGCTTCTAAAGGTCATCCTGTGCCACTCCCCCTGCTGTGGTTTTTACTCCTGTTACTAGACCAGGTTTTGCTCTAGTCCAGCACTTTCAGGGATGTGGCAGCCACAGCTTTCCTGGGCAACCTGTTCCAGAGCCTCACCACCTGTGTTGTAAAATGAATCTTTTCTCTTGCTCCTGTGAACCTGTGTGTACTGGGAGGGGTTGCAGTTATGTCTGCTGACACACTGAAGCACTTGCTGTGATCTTTCCGTAGCTGCTCAGCACCAGCCCCACGCCAAACCAGTAGAGAAGGCACCAGAGCCCAGGCCAGCCTCTTGTGACAGCTCCTACTTGAACAGGCTTTCATTCCAGCCCTGTAGAACCATTCCCTTAACCCATGCAGCAAGGTCTTACTTGTGCTGGTAGCAGCCATTTCTCTGCTCACCTGTTCAATCCCCAGCAGCTGACAGAAAAATAGCTTTTTTTTGCAGTCAATGGATTCCCACCCTGAGCAGATTGCCCTGCGCCCCAAGGAGTTCTTCTGCACCTATGACATTGAAGTCCTGACTGAAATGCAGGTAAGGAGAGTCCTGTGTGTGCCTGAAGGCAAGTGCTAGTATGCAAGGGCTGTATTTAGGGAATGTGGCCACTGTCTCTGTCCTTGGCTCACTGGGTTATGAATGTTGGGTCTCCCCCAGCCCCCCTCTTTTTGCCCAGGAGTGCAGGTTGCCTGTGCTTGTTCAAAACACAGCTCCTGTGTTCAAAACACAATGCTCCTGTGGGAGGAAGGGCACTCTGGGTGTGACCATGATGTGGCTGTCTGTGGTGACCATGATGTGTTACCTGCCATTCCTCATGTGGATCTGGGGAGCCAGGTGCCGTCTGATAAGGATAATCAGCCTTCAAACAGTGCAGACAATGATGGCTTAAATATTTCTCCCCATTATTTTATTTATATTGGAAGACTTTCAAGGATTTGTGAGAATGCAACTAGGAATATTTAAGGTGTGGGTTGGCCAAGCTGTGGACATGGAGGGGCTGAAACTAACAGACTAACTAAAAGCAACCAACTAACTAACTAAAACTGACATGAAGGACTAAAACCTGGCAGACAAGTTGATTGGGCTGGGACCTCGGTGAAAATCTGGGATTTCTTCCCTTAACGTTATTTAGGAATGATTTTAGGTGGCGGCTGTGGATGTCAAGAGCAAGATAGCTGTGTTCAAGGATGGGTTTAAGATGGAGTACAACAAGCTGCTGATAGCAACGGGAAACACGTAAGCTTCAGACAAACATCTCAAAGATCAAGAGAAACTGTTTTATCTGAGAATGTGAGGACCTGGGGATAAGGGATGAAATGTGGCAGGTGAATTTAAACCCTGGATTTGTTTGAGTATGGAAAAGTCAAGGAACACAAAAGATATTGGAAATGTCTGTATGTATCTACATCTAAATATCATCATCTATATATTTCATATATATCTACATCATGTATTATAGAATCACAGAATCACAGGATGGTTTGTATTGGAAGAGATCTTAAAATTCATCCAGATCCACCCCTGCTGTGGACAGGGAACACTTTCCACTAGACCAAATTGCCCCAAGCCCCATCTAACCTGGCCTTGGATACTTCCAGGGGTGGTACCAGGACCTTGAACATATTTTCTTTAACAAAAGCTCCAAAGTGGAAGTATCCTAATTCTTTTAGACAGCATTTTTGCCACATTGCTTTTCTTTTCACTCCTTGATAACACTCAACCCTGACAACCAGATAATTCATCCCTCTGAATTTCCGTCTTGCATTTTCTGCCAACCTTTAAGATCTTTTTCAGCAATTAAGGTTTAACACTTTACTGTTGCAGCCTTAATTAGGTGTTGCTGTTGCCCCATTCTAACAGACCCTTTGGGAACCTTGGCCCCAGAATAGGAATTTTCAGGACTGGACCTGGTCCAGCCTTTGGAAAAGGTAGTATTGATGTGCTGACATGCTGAGCATCACTCTGTATTGCTGTTGTCACTTGTGGCCTGGAAGTAGTGGGTCAGTTTGTTTTCGATTGGAGGTTTGTCAAAATCGGCAGTTTAAGCTGAAAATGAGGCATCCTGGCTCTCCTTCCTTGTGTTCCTTACATCAAGCCATAAAATGAAGTAGGAGAAATACAGCTCCTGCATAATTTATCATCTGGGGAAGGAATGCTGTAGATCAGCCAAAGCAGGGACTCAACTGGAAGCCAAAGTGCCGCCAGTCATAGCCAGTGCCACAAGGTGTGAATAGCTGGTGCTAGGGTGTACAGGATCACAGCCAAATGCCATGTGCACCAGCCACCCAATTACGTTCACAAGAGGATTAAACCTTTGGCAATAATTTCAAAATCCTCATGCACAAGCTCCAGGTATACTGGCTTTTTTAGGGTACCTAAATTATTTAGGTGCTTCTGTCCTGTTTCCAGATGTGAGTCAGTTATGCAGGGGCCAGATATTAAAAAATATATGGGTTACAGTAAGTGCCTGGGGAGGGCACAGTTAAGCTGCTACAGCATCAGCAGTATGCCCTTGGGAATGGAGAGTGTAGCCTACATCTGCAGAGCCTTATCAAACTTTCAATATCTGCTGGAGGCCAGAGTGAGTTTTCTGCGTCCCATTAAGCTTCTAAAAATTTTGTGACATGCCAATAATTGAGCATAGGCTTGTAAAGCAATGCTTATCCTGCGCTGGCTGCACCACCCCAGCAAGGAGCTCCCTGGACCTGTGGGTACACCAGTCCACGATGGGGTCTGGGGTGACTGCTCAGCATCCCCTGCTCCACCACTGGCCACCAGCATCTGGGTTTTTCCATGTAATGTCTCCAGCCCAGAGAAAGGTGAAAAAAGGAAATTTGGGAATGTTCTTGGAGCCCCGGGAGGAGTGTCTGCAGTCCTGACTGGGCACTGAACCACACAGAGTTGAGAAAAGCAGCTGTATCACCCTCAGTGTTTTCCAGGCCCAAAACTCTCAGCTGCAAAGGTAAGGAGATGGAAAATGTCTTCAACATCCGGACGCCTGAAGATGCCAATCGTGTGGTGAAGCTGGCCACGAGCAAGAACGTTGTGATCGTGGGAGCATCCTTCCTGGGTGAGTGCTGGCCTGGCCCGTGGCCCTGTCCCAGCTCTCCACCTCTGCCTGCAGATGGGGAAAGTCCTTTGCCCAGTTTGTCACTGCCCAGGTAGAGGTAACACTCTCATGAAATTGGATCTGGGGTAGTCCAACCCAGGTGTGTGTAAGGACATTTCCGTACCGGAGAAATTGATTTTTCAAAGAGACTGAGCTGGCATGGGCATAGATGTTGCTGTCCCAGTCTGGAAAGTACATGGCAAGACAAGTACTGGTGCTCATGTGGGTCCAAATCTGGTATGTCTGGAGTTGGCTTCAGTCAGGAGAGGCTTGTTGGTGGATAGGAGTCTATGGGATTTTTCTCTTTTATGTTTCAGTAGTGTGGTAGATTTTTAAAATGCACAGGAAAAATCTTGTTTCTGTGATGATTCTTCTTTTTACTTGACATGGTTCCAACAAAATTATTGTGGGTCCTTTCAAAATAAGAGTGGGTCCTGCAAGCCTTAAACATAAATGGTTATTAGTCAGGAAATTTATTATAAGATATTAATGATTTGTTTTTCTTCCTTCATAAAAGATAAACTTGTTTTCATGGTTGGATCAATATGATCTACAGAAAAGCATGCAGTATGGGGGGCCAATTGCAAACTGCAGGTCATCAAAAAGATTCATTTCCAAAAAACCCCCACAGACAGAAGATGTCTTAGTGGAGGTTCCCATGCAATTCCCAGCACCAATATTCTACTATTCTGATGGGAGAAAACAGCAACTCCCAAGAGCAGTTTTCAGACCATAGCTGAGGTTGTCCCAGCCATAGGAGGAAGGTTTCCCTTGGCTGAGGTCCCTTGTTCCATGTTTTGCCCAGGGCACTTTGGAATTTCCTGGCTAGTTCCTCCATTTGGTCTTTAAAACCTGTGCCCAAGAACACCTGAATTGGTGTGAGCCCTGGTGTGATCAGGCCTGGTGGCTCCCCAGTTCTCCCAGGAGTGCAGCTCCAGCCTCCCCATTTGGAGCGGATGAGGCTGCTCCCCGTCTGCAGCCAGGGACACGGGGCAGTGCTGGCTGGGCTAACGTGGCTCTTTGGACCTGCTTCTCTTCCCCAGGGATGGAGGTGGCCGCCTACCTTGCAGAGAGGGCCCACTCAGTGTCCCTGGTGGAGCTGGAGCATGTCCCCTTCAAGAAGTTCTTTGGGGAGAGGGTTGGCCGTGCTGTCATGAAGGTGACCTTGCTTTCCCATCTGGCGGGGGTTGGTAACAGAGCAGATTTTGCTTGTTTCACTTATTGCACTAATTAATTTACTTCACAATTATTGACCAAGCTGTGATGGCAGCAATCAGTGAGAATGGGCTGTGTTTTCCCTGTCATGGTCCATGTGCTATGGAACACCTCTAGAGCCATGTTGGGAATGGGGGGATGCTGACCTCCTTAGCAGTGCAGGTTGAGACAAGCCTGCAGGGTGGGCAAGGCGGTGTAGGGGAAAGCAGGACATCAGGACCAGGGTGGTTCAGGGCCCTGATGTCCCCTGCTCTGTCCCTTGTACCCCGTGCAGATGTTTGAGAACAACAGGGTGAAGTTCTACATGCAGACAGAAGTGTCAGAGCTGAGGGAGCAGGAGGGGAAGGTAAGTGGTGGGCAGGGGCTCCCTGGGGGCACTGCTGTGGCATCCCCCAGAGCTGCCATTCCCTTCCCTCGTGGGGTTCTGCTCTCCCCTCTTTCCTGTCCCCTGACATTCATGTTCCTGGATTTGGCCCCCAGGAGCAAATGTATGCCAGAGTGGTGTGTGGGGTGACTTCATTGATCCCACTCAGTTCCTGCTGCTTTTCTAAGGAATTATGGTCAATTTGCATTTCACAAACGAGGCGAGCTGCCAGCTTGGCTTCCTGCTGCTACAGAGGGGTTTTGTCCCTAAAATAGCTCTGATGTGCCCCCCTGCCCCTTGTGTCTCCTGCAGCTGAAGGAGGTTGTGCTGAAGAGTGGCAAGGTGCTGCGTGCTGACGTCTGTGTCGTGGGTGTTGGTAAGGGCTGTGTGGGGCAAGGCACGGAGGGAGGGCAGGGAAGAATTGCAGGGGATGTGGCAGCAGAAGGTCACTGGGGCTGGGTGGCCGGGAGGTCTGGCAGTGGTCTGCTAGCCTTGCTGGACTACCACACATGAATCTGCATATCTAAAAAAGGCATTTCTAGAGCCCCCACAACAAAATGCAACTGAAAATATATTTCAGAAGTAATATATGTTTCTTCTAGAAAAAAAAACCAAAACATTTAAAGCAGTTTCATCCTCTCAAACTGTTTTTTATTAAATCTTCCCCAAACTGATTTTTTAATATGTGTTTTTTTAATTGCTGCTGACAGCAATCAAAAATGTATCCTATACTATAAAATAAAAGAAAATATCCCAAAGAATATGATATATTTCTCCTTTACACTTCGTGGTGGTGGTGGGGAAATTCCCTTTCCTTCCCTCTTCAAAATGCTGTGGACTGGAAGAATCACAGAATTAATTTAATTCTGGTTTTGTTGTTTTTACTGACTACTCTGATTTGTGAAGAGGTTGGAGATAAAAAAAAAACTAAAAAAGGAGAAGGAAGGTGAAGGAAATGCACAGACTGGGGGGCGGCTGTAGAGCCCTGGCTGGAAGCTCAAAGGTTCCCTTTTAAATACAATTTTTTTCAAACTATCTATAAAAGTGAATGAAATTGAAAATTATCTCTGAGCACTAGAAAAGGGCGGTGGACAGGCTACAGTGATGGCTTGGGCAGGACAGGGATCCTGAGGGGCCAGAGGCTGATCCTGAGGGGCCAGAGGCAGTGGGGGCTCTGTAGGGTGCCTGGCCCTGCTCCACACTCCCAGAGCAGCTGCTGCCTGTCCCTGGGGCCAGGAGAGGCCTCAGGATCAGCCCCAGGGCTGTGGAGCACTGGACACTGCAGCAGCAGCCTTTGGCTCCCCCCAGGTGCAGTCCCAGCGACAGGCTTCCTCAAGCAGAGTGGCATCAACATCGACTCGAAGGGCTTCATCGTGGTCAACAAGGTGAGCCCAGGGGCAGCCCCTGTGGGAGGGAGAGCAGGAGGAGCTGGGTCAGCTCTTTTGATCTTGAGCTTCCCTGGGGCTCCAAACTGCTGCCACAGGGGCTTTTCATGGCTTTTTATCTGCCAAGATTGGCAGAATTGGAATTATTTAATTCTTTGGGTTGGCCTGTGCAGGGCCAGGAATTGAACTCAATGACCCTTGTGGTTGCCTTCATCTCAGGATATTCTGTGAGAAGGTGAAATTCTGGAAGCGTCACCAGGAGTGCCTGGGAACCCCCTGTGCAAGGGGCTGTGCAAACCCCAGACCTTGATGCTCTGGCTTGGGTCTGGCTCTGAGCTGTCCTGGAGTGGTATGGATATTTAGAGGGGAAAAAATTGAGATAGATCCATCTTTTCAAGGATCCTAAAGGAACTCATCCTTTCTCCCCACCACCAGGGACTGTGATGGAGGAGCAATGTTTGAGCTGGTCGGTGTTGGTGCCTTGGGCCAAGGAGCATGTCGGGAGCCTGGGGCTCAGTGCCGTGCAGTGTTCATCCCTGCAATTAGCTGTGCTCTATCAGCCAAAACCAACGAGCCCCAGACTTCTGAGAGAGATTCCAGGACACCAGTCCATGTGTCTTTTTATTGCATAACCCACTGGCTGAGGGATACTGTCAGTCCCTGCATGTGCATTCTTATTTGAAAGTGAGGAAGGCTGAGTGAAATCTCCCATGGGGGTCCCACAACCAAGCAGAGGTTTTCCCTGTGTTCTGAGGGACTGTGGCAGCTCTGGGCCACTCCAGCTGTGGAGTTTCTGTAGGGTGCCAACCCCACTAATGCCACCTCTGTTCTCCCCTGCAGATGATGCAGACCAACATCCCAGGGGTCTTTGCTGCTGGAGATGCTGTCACATTTCCATTGGCCTTGAGGAATAACAAGAAGGTGAATGTCCCTCACTGGCAGATGGCCCACATGCATGGTAGGTACTTTGCAGAAAAAAGCCTTTTCCAGATTCTCAGGAAATTTCCAAACCCTCCAGGGCAAGAATGAGACAACAGCCAGCAGAGAGACTGGGTGGTTGTATTGAACATTTTGAAGCATGTTTATCTTATGCCTTCATGTGTCAGCATTCTTGCCAAGCTTTGCCTAACAATGCCTCATCGCCAGCACAGAGGAGCCCAGGGACAGGCTTTCTTTCCCATATTCCCTTTGCTCCCTGGCACTGCTGCAGGAGCCTGCTCTATTCCTTGCCCCAGGACACCTGGGAGCTCACACCCTAATGCCAGGCTGGGCTCAGGTTCCCACTGGGCTTCCCACACTGCCAGGCTGGCCTGGGAGTGTTCAGCAGAGCTCCAGCCCTTCTCGTCAGCCTGGAACCCCTGGTGTGATGGGCTGCCCTCATGGCCATAGTCTCACAGAGAGGTTTTGGAACCACAGTTCCAAAGTCAGCCTTTGGACACCTCTCCCATGTCCAGATATGCTTCTGCAGCAAGGGCCGTACCCCAGCGGTCTCCCTGCCCTCCAAGGGTTTGTCCGTCCCATCCCCATCTGGGTAGGAGCTCAGCACACTCTCAACCCTGTCACTATTGCACAAGCTGGGGGGAAAGAGTCTCATGGGTCCATGGCTCATGGCAGTGGAGGTGATAAGGAGGAGATGCACCATGGGACGGAGTCTGAGCCCATCCGTGTGTGCTTCCTGCTTTGTCTTGGTTGCTGTGTGGGTTTTCTCAGCAGCAGTTTTTTGTCTCTCTGTGACTGCTGGTGTTGATGCTGTGGCCTGAGTGCAGAGCCTGGAGCTTGCCCTGGGGTAGCAGTTCCCCCATCCCGTGCTCTCTTGCAGGCCGCATCGCCGCGCTGAACATGCTGGCCCATGGCACGGAGATCAGCACTGTCCCGTACCTGTGGACAGCCATGTTCGGCAAGAGCATCCGATACGCGGGTAAGGGGCTCCCTGGGGCTGCTGAGGGTTTGTGCTGCTGGAGGTGCCCTGGCATAGAGAATCCAGGGTCACCTCCTTCACTGTGAACCCTCCCCACCGACTTCTGCCACAGGGCTGCTTCCCTGCCTGGCCTCTGTAGAGGTTCAGAGTCTCCTCTGAAACCCATCTGCCATGAAGTGCACTTCTCTAAACAGCATGGAGGATTCACTTACATTAGATATTGAGAAGTAATTCTTCCCTGTGAGGGTGATGAAGCCCTGGCACACATTGCCCAGAGAAGCTGTGGCTGCCCCATCTGTGGAAGTATTTAAGGCCAGGTTGGACAGAGCTTGGAGCAACCTGGGACAGTGGAAGGTGTCCCTGCCCATGTAGAGGGTGGGAACAAGGTGTTTTTCAAGGCCTCTTCCAACCCAAAACTCTCCTGTGGTTTTTGGTACCTGCATCTCCTGGTGCTGGTCTCTTGGTCACTGCAGGACATTCTCCATGTAGTGCTGGAATGAAACACCCTGTCTTAGAGCTGGATCTGGAGGAATTGCTGCTGATTTCACTGCTTTGCCTTCCAGGTCATGGGGAAGGATTCGATGATGTTGTCATTCAGGGAGATCTGGATGAACTGAAGTTTGTGGCATTTTATACCAAGTAAGTGTTTTTCTTGTCCGTATTCCTACACAGGCATTCATCAGATTGCTAGGCTGGAAAATAGTTCTGCCAGAGCTTCTGTCAGTCAGTTTTGTTCACCTCTGCACAATGAGTGTGGAACACTTATACAAGACCCTGGAGAAATGACGTTCTGATTGTACAACAAGTTAAACTGGTCTTTGGGCCTGGTGTCTCTGCCCTTTGCTCTCATAATCTCTGTGAGCAGATGACAGCTTCTACTGGCAATCCCTATCAAGTATTTCCTTCCCATCTAATCACCATGTTAATGATTTGAGACCAGTGCTGGACAGAGTGCTCAAGCATCACTGTTTCTACTTCTGGTTTGACAAATTGAGCTCAAAAAACTCTTCTGTCTATCACAAGCTGTGAAGGTTTGAAGGAACTTGGGAGCTTTGTTATATTTGTAGTGAAATCCAGCTCCCCCCCAGGTTGGGACCCTCCCTGGGAGTGCATTCTTGAGATGTGTTGGCAGCTGGGATGTGTTGCCTCAGCTGTTCTGGAGCCATGCTGGCTGTTTAGACTGGAAAGTCACTGCACCATGAATTTATCCCAAAAATATTTGCTGCTGTTTATTCTTCTGTTTCCTTTGTCCATCCCAGTCCGAAACCAGTGGCCACAGAACATCCTCTTGCTGGAGCCAGAGGGGTTTCTCTAAGTGCTTTCTGATATTAAGGATAGGGAGAGGGAAACCAGGGAAGCAAAGAGCTGCCCAGCTCAGCTGTCAAACACTTGGCAACAGCATCCAGGCAGGAATCAGGAGGGAGCTCAGGACAGGAGCCAGCTCTGGCTCTGCAGACATCATCTCCCTGTCCCTCTGTCCCATCTCCAAGGTACCCCATGCCTTGTCCCTCCCTGAGGGTGGCCCACTTGCCCATGTGGCTCAGAACGGAGCCTGGTGGTTGGATGTGTGCATTGGGCTTGAAGAGGTGTGGGGCTCACTGCGTCACCCTGAGGATCCCCAGTGCTCACTCTCCTCTCCCTGGTACCTGCACACCTTGGGTAAACACCTGCTGCAGGGATGGGGCTCCAGCTGGCACTCAGGGACCTTTGCATACTGGATGCAGCTCAGAGTGTGCTGGAACCTTGGTCAAAATTGCCTAAAGGGGTGGGTTCGTGCCAAGGCACCACCTGTGCTGGGGAGAGCTGCTGTGGGGATGTTCCCCTCCTGCAGCCTTTCCACATGAGAGCCTTTTACCTCTTTATGCCAACCCTAATTTGAAAGGAAACATCAGGTTGCTTTAATGAATCATCTGAGGAGGCTGTTCAGAGGGAATGCCCTGGACAAGGTACATAATCCCTGCTCTGTGTGCCATGGTGGCTGCAAGGGACAGGGGCTGCCAGGGGACCTGGGCTTGGTGGGCAGACTGGAGGTCCCTGCTGAGGCTGTGTTGTTCTGCCACCCAGGAGGGTCTCCCGGAGCTGGCGTGTGGGTACCAGGACGGCATTCCATGCTGAGAGCCAGAGGTACTGGGAAGCACTGGCTGGTGGGGGTCAGCCAGTGTGCCCCCCCCAGCTTGGCTCTTTGTCTGTGAGAGGCCGCTGGAGCATTTCTTTCTCTTTTCTTTTTTGGTGGTGGTTCTTCTAGTTGGTGCTAATGCTCTTGGACAGAGGACAGTCCCAAGCTGACCATTTCCTCCTGCTTCCTTCTGCTGTGCCCACCCCGTGTTTGAACTCTTCTCCCCCTGGTCCTCCTCGGTTGTTGCAGGAACCACTGGTGGTTCCCACTCCTCAGCCTGTCCTCAGCATTGGCTTTCACAATAAGTCTGCTTCTGCCCCAGAGTTTGAAGAGGAAAGCATTTTTCTCAGAGCTGTGTAGAGGCCAATAAAACGCTCTGTGCTGGGAGGTGTAGGGGACAGCACTCTGCAGATGTCCCCATGGCACACTGCCTTGACAACAGACTGATGTCCTCCTGCCCCTAAGATCTTGGAGACCCGAGAATTGCTGGAATTGCTGTGGTTGTCTTCTTCATGGTTCCCCACCTCTGTTACGTTCAACGCTGCAGAAGAAGGGAAGACCAGGTAGATACATTCACTGTGCTTCCCTCTTCCCTATGTCTCACAAAGATTTCTGATTGCTCCAAATCCCAGGTTCAGGATGGGAATTCTTGTTACCTTTGAAAACCTTTTGAAAAACAGGGATTCTTCCTGGCTTCCCCCATCTGTCTGACAAAGAGTTCAAAAGCTGCTCTGATGCAGGGTGCTCCAGCTCACCATGAACTATTTTGCAAAAGGAGCAGCTACCCTGTGTCCTGCTGACAGAAATGTCTGGGCTGCATCCACCTTCCTGGCTGGCCCCTTTGGGGTTTGAGGGCGAGCCAGTGGGCAGCTGGTGGTAATACATCTTCTGGTTCTATTGCACACCTTGGTTATTCATTGCTTGGAACAGCACACCTCTCCCTGGTTTTGATGGTCTCTCCAACCACTTGGTGTTTCCCAGCTTGGAACTGGCTCTGCTTGGGAAACTGCTCTCCTTTATTTGCTATGAGCTTATTTAGGAATGGGAGTTTTTTGAAACAGTCTGTGATGGAGCTGCCCCATGGTTTTGTAGACAGATGTGAGAGATAGCATTAACTTTTGTGGCTGCACAGGGCTGAAGTGTCCTCTGAAACATGGCTTTTGCTCTCCTTGTCCTTGGAATTAGGGATATCCCTCCCCACCCCAGCTGTTCTTTGCTCTGTTGATCCCAGAGCTCTTTGGCAGTTGATTTAAGAGCAAATCTTGGTTTAGTGGGTGCTTCTATTTTTCAGTTTATTCAACAATATCACCAGAGTTTAAGATCTTACCCACACATCTTCCCTGATCTCACATTGTGCATTCAGTTATCTCTTCATGGTCAGGCTTTGAAGGTTTACACTTGGATTGACCTCGGCAAACTCCAGACCAGAACCACCCTTCTTATTTGCCTGTGACCTTTAGCCAAAGCTCCTCCAGCAGTTTTACATCCTCTTCCTTCTCCTTCATTTGTTTGCCTCTCAGCCTTTGAGGCTGCATTGGGATCCTGCTAGGGGAACAGTCAGCCAGCCTGGACATCCCATATACATGGGGACGTCCTTGCTGGGGCTGTGGGACCCAGGGCTTGGACACCCCAGCTGTGCCAGTGCCCGTGGAGCAGCTCAGAGCGGGGCACTCTGCCTGTTCACAGGTAGGGATCAGGAAGGGGATGTGGAGCATCCCAACTGACTGTTCCACAGGGAAATCCTGACCACCTGCCTCTCCACTCCCTCAGCACAGGGCAGCAGTGCAGGGATCACAGCTGGGCATCCTTCATGTTGTCCAGGTTTTTATCCACCATCAGATGTACCTTTGGTGGTGATTTCCCACAGATGCCGGGATGGCAGAACTGTGTCCATCACCCAGGCACCCTAGTAATGCTCATGACATAACCATTAGCATTGGTAGGACCAGTGGGGCCTGCTGTGCCACTCTATACCTTCTCCTGATCCTTGTTCCAGCCACCTTTTCCCAGTCCCTGTGGTGCTCATACCTTGGGATCAGGCCTGGCTCTGGAGCGGGTGCTCCTCTTTGCCTCCCTCTTCTCTCCATCGTGGTGGGTTTTGGGTGGTGGGACTGTGCCCATCCAGGCTGCCCTAACTGCTCTGCTCTGCCCACCCCAGGAGTGACGAGGTGGTGGCTGTGGCCAGCATGAACTACGACCCAATCGTGTCCAAGGTGGCCGAGGTCCTGGCTGCGGGCAGGACCATCCGGAAGCGTGATGTGGAGTAAGTAGACAGGCAGTGGGAAGTGGCAGTGCCAGGGCAGAGGCTAAGCACGGCCATGGGGTGCTGGGCAGAGCTGAGCCTTTCACACTGATCTGTCTCCACACCCCTCTTGCATCTCCCTTCCTGTTCTGCTTCCTCCACCCCCCTGTGCTACCTCTTAGCTGCCTCCAGGTCTGGCATCCCCCACACATGGGGTTTGTCTTAAACACCAGGACCCAAATCCTTGCACAGACATGATGGGATGGGAATACTCTCTGACTTTGGGCATTAGCACATCATCAAGGAAGCAATGCTGGATGTTGGGGCGCACCTGGGCACCCAGTTGGTCAAGGAGACCAGCAGAGAGGGACTGAGTGTGTGGCCTGTGCATAGCCCCCTATGCACAACCCAGCCCAAAGAGCTAGTGCTGCCAGTATGCTGGCCTGTGGTGTCTCAGCCTCCAATTCCTTGGAGCGGACCTCATAGGCAAAGGACATTTTTCTCCCTTCACTGTGTTTTTTAGACCATGCAGAGGAAAGAGCATAGCTTTGTGCTGAGGGTGGGTGCTGGAAGGCAAATTCCAGGGAGGTGATAACAGCTGGGAAGAGGCCTTTAGAGTGGGAATCAGAGCTGCTGAGGAAATGTGGGTCCCTGTTCCAGGGGTGTTTCCATATCTGGAATAAAAACAGATATTTTCAAAAGCTCAGGGAGAGGAGCACTCCCAACCCCCAGGAAGCTTTGTGTCTCAGACTCCCTGGGCATCCCTGGGATGGGGAGCATGTCATGGGCCCCCTCAGCTGAGACAGGGTTCATAAAATGACAGAATAGTTTGGGTTGGAAGAACCTTAAAGCACATCCAATTCCACCCCCTGCACCCTTCCCTCCCACTATCCCAGATTGCTCCAAGCCCCACCAACCTGGCCTTGGACACTTCCAAAGATGGGGCAGCCAGAGATTCTCTGGGGAGTCTGTGCCATGGTCTCACCACCCTCACAGGGAAGAATTTCTTGTGCCATCACCCCGGCACATCGGGAAATGGTTGCTGGTGTCCCACTTTGTGGCTGGGAGGGAGGTGGTATCTTGTGGCTATCCTGGGGGTGGGGAGGAGCTGCTGGGACTGTGGTGGGGCTCGGGGGCTCGAGGAAGCCAGATTAAACCTGAATGTCTTTTCTCTCTTTGTCTCCTGCTGCTTTCACAACTTTAGGCTGTTTGTTCGTCACGGCAAGTACGTTTGGTTTGGGGTCCTGAGTGTGCTGGATGTGAGGGGCTGGCAGGAGGGACAGCTGCCCCCATGACTGGGCCATATCCCTAATTCCCATGTGGAGACACTGGTTAAGGGGCGGGTGTCCTCATTTTGCATCCCCCTCACATGTGGGGCAATGCTGGGTGATAGGGCTGGGGCTGCAAAGACCCACACGTGGCACAGATCCTGTTGGCTGGCACCTTGCTTGGCTGCAGTTTGGCAGCTTTCCATGGATTTGCAGCTGAAGGGCAGCTTTTAAGTATAAATAAATAAAATGTTTGAACTCAGTTTTACACAGATTTGAGGACCTGCAGGTGACTTTTTGGACAGTTTAGTGACAGATGTGAGGGCAGAGGAGGCAGCTGATTGCTGGGATGGACACCAAGTACTGCTGGGATGGACACCAAGCACCAAGGCACACCAAGAGCATTTTCCTGCGCACGTTGAGAAACCCCTCACAGCACTGTTGTTTTTCTCTCTTTTAGAACTGGAGACATGTCGTGGCTAACAGGGAAGGGCACCTAAAGCCATGGATGGCTGAACTCTCCTGATGCTGCACTCGCCGTGGAGAGATGGGACAGCAGCTCCATGGCCTGGTGGGAACCCCATGGCTCAGCCATTTCCCTTTGAGACCTTGATGAACCTGCCTTCAGATCTTCCAGGAGGATCTCACACAGCTCCTCTGCCCCTGTGCCTGCTGGGCTGGGGATGGGGCTCTGCTGTTGCAATTGCTGTGGAATGCTGGAAAAGCAGCCCACAGAGAGCGTGAGGCTTGGCACTCGCAGTGGGCATGGGCGCCATACGGCTCTGGATGCTGCCATAGGGCTGAGGGTCCCCAGGCGGGTGTGCCCCATGCATGTCCCTCACTCCCATAAGCAGCATGAGTGCCTTTGGCTGCTCCTGTGCTTTCATGCATGATGCTCCTTTCCAAATTCTCTTTGCTCCCAGCAGAGCTCCAGCGCGCATCCCTGCGGAGCATGACATCCGCTCCTTGCCTGCATGGCTGCTGCTTTTGCCACAGCTCTCCCTGTGCCCACCCACCCCGGGGGCGTCTGGGTGGGCCAGGAGATTACACTGGGTGATCTCTGTGCAGCTGGTGCTTGTGTTGTCCAGGCTGGTCCTGTGCAGCCCCACCACTAGAGGTGGGTGTCTGTCCATGCTAAGGGCTCTGGAGCTCATCAGTCCCCATCCCAGAATCTCCTGTCCTGGAGCAGCCAAGGGGTTGGGATTCGTTCCCTGTCTCCTGGGGCTTGGTTCGGGCTGGGGCACTGGCAGCTCTTGGGCCCATTACCGGAGTGCATTGCAGGGGTACCTGAGAGCTGTGATGGCTCAGCTGCAGCCCTGGGCTGGGTGGCCACCCTTCCAGCCAGCCTTGAGATATCTCTCCTTAATGCTATCATGGGATCAGTGCTGTTGCTGAGGTGTTATTTGAGGAAAAGTAGCTGGGGGAGCATTTCTGGCTGTCCATTCTCTGGCACTTGTCCAGTGTAGTGACAATCCTGCATAGCCCACCATGCTCGTACTCTGCTGTCCTGTTTCTGGCCCCATGCTGAAGAAGAGCCATGTCTCCAGCTCAGGAGTGGACCTGGCCAGTCCAGAGTCCATCAGCCCAGCAGAGTGGGGTTTGAGAGTCCCCCTAGGAGAGACTCCAGTGCTTTGTTCTGGGGGCAGCTCCTTCCCCAGCAGTGTTTTACCCTGCGTCCCAAACAAGAGGATTTATATTTTTAATTTGATTCACCCCCTGTGAATTAAAGCAATACTATTCTTGGGGTCTGGATCATTTCTGATTCTTTCCAAGACCTTGGGTCACCTCTGCATGTTGGCCAGGTTCAACAATCTCTTCTCGGGAGACTTCCCACCTGTGTCCAGCTCACCTGTATTTCCAGTATTTCAGATCTTGGCTGGGTAGAAATGCCCCAGTATCTATCACATCTCTGGTTGGTCTCTCCTGGTTTCACTGCAGAGCTTTTCCCAGATGGAATGACCAGGAAGGGTGGTAGCAGGATGTGCACACTCCAGCACACATCCTGTGATGAACAGGGACCACTGTGTGTCTGCTGGATCCACAAAGCGATGGGAACTTGCAAGTCTCGTCTCAGGCTCCGAAAGACAAATGTCAGTATTCCTGTCCACAGGTCCTCCTCCAAGGGCAGGGGTGGCTGGAGCTGCTCAGATCTTGGTGCCCCAGGCAGGGCTGTTCCAGAGTGGCCTAGGGTGGGGGCACTGCCCAGATGGAGGCAGCTGCCCAGGTGCTGCCTCAGCTCTGCCCCACTACCCACAAAGATCTGGCTCTGTATCCTGTGTCCTGCTGGTGGGATAGTTGGACTCAGCTTTGGTAGCTCCCCAGAGGACCCAGCGTGAGTGCCAGGAGACTCTGGGGCACCACAGGGTGGCATTCCCTTCAGCTGTGTGTTTTCCCCAAGTTCTCTGTCATATTCTCCATGCTGGGTGAGACTGGCAGCTCCCCCAGCACGACTTTGCTACGCTGGGGACACAGTGGCAGAGCACTTCAGGAAGATGCTTTTTCAGGCAGCATGGATGTTTTTCAGGAAGATGCTTTTTGACCTCCTTTGCCTCTGATGGGGCTTCATCCAGTATTGGGCATGAGCTGCATAAAATGGGCATCACCGCCATGTTCACAGGGCTGAAGACCCTTCAGGGGCTGAGGAAGGACCTTCTGTTCCAGCCCACAGCTGCAGTGGGGGTAACAAGTCCCATTCCCTGCTTTTTACGGAGAAGTTGTTTCAGCCAGGGCTGGTAATATCACCCGAGACTCAAGAAATGCCAGTCACCACTGCAGCTTTCCTTGGGACATGTGTCAGGTCATGGGCAGGGCTGGCTCAGATGGGGATTGCTCCTCTGCACGGGTGTGGGGTGGTGTTGAACCTGGGACTCCTTATCCAGTGCCTTGGCAAATGCTTCCTGGTGGTGAGTCTGTCCTGGAGCTGGGCAAGCCTGGGTTGTGTTCTCTGCCACCTTTCCAGGCCTGTCTTGCAATCTCTAATGCCAGGACAGAAAGTTTCCATCTCTTCTTAATAAACTGCCTGTTCCCATGAGGAATGAGAGCCCAGCTGGGGCACATGCCCCGTGTCATTACCTCCACCAGACTGCCCAGGTATAATCTCGGTTGCTCACCTTGCCTGCCCATGCAGACCCGATGCCCCAGATGCTGAGCTCTCCACCAGCTTCTGCTCCTCAGATTCTGGGGCTGTGCCTGTCACCCTGCCCATGTCTCACTTGTGTGCTGGCAGGACTTGGGGGACAGCTAGGGCTTTGCCTCTGCCCCATGCAGGTGAGACCCCATCTGGAGAACTGCATCCAGCTCTAGGGTCCCAGCACAGGAAGGACCTGGAGCTGCTGGAACAACTTCAGAGGAGGCCACAGAGATCCTCTGAAGGCTGGAGCACAGCCAGGAGAGCTGGGGGATGCTCACCTGGAGAGGAGAGGGCTCCAGGGAGAGCTCAGAGCCCCTTGCAGGGCCTGAAGGGGCTCCAGGAGAGCTGGAGAGGGACTGGGGACAAGGGATGGAGGGACAGGACAAGAGCAGGTTGGAATGTTGGGAAGAAGATGGGATATAGTGAAGAAATTCTTCCTTGTGAGGGTGGGCAGACCCTGGCACAGGGTGCCCAGAGCAGCTGGGGCTGCCCCTGGATCCCTGGCAGTGCCCAAGGCCAGGCTAGACACTGGGGCTGGGAGAAGCCTGGGACAGTGGGAGGTGTCCCTGCCATGGCAGGGGTGGGATGAGATGGGCTTTGAGGTCTCTTCCAAGCCAAACCATTCTGTGATCCTACAACTTCAGCTAGTCAGATGCTGGTTTAACCATGCTTTCAGCCCCAGATGGTTTGGTTTCGGCAGCATATGGCAGTGAGCTCTGCAATTTCACTTTAGCATTATCCAGGAAAAGAATCCTCTCTTTTTTTGGTTTCTTGTGTTCCTTGACAATTCCTGGCCCTTTAAGGACCTCATTTATAGCACTTGCTCCCACTATTTGAGGCAGCTTCTCTGATACACCTTATGGGGTGAGTTGGAGGCTGAATATCATGAGGTGAGACCAGATCTGTTGGGTAGAACTAACTGACACTTACAGAGTGTGTCCAGAGAAGGCAACAGTGCTGGGGCAACAGTCTGGAGCCCCAGGAGAGGCTGAGGGAGCAGGGAAGGGGCTCGGCCTGGAGCAAAGGAGGCTCAGGGGGCCCCTGTGGCTCTGCACAGCCCCTGACAGGAGGGGACAGCTGGGGGGGTCGGGCTGTGCTCTGGGGAACAGGGACAGGAGCAGAGGGAACGGCCTCAGGCTGGGCCAGGGCAGGCTCAAGTTGGATATTGGGGAATATTTTTTCATGAAAAGGTTTGTCCAGTCTTATACAGGCTTCCCAGGGCAGCAGTGGAGTCCTCATCCCTGGAAGTGTTCAAAAAATGTGTAGATGTAGCACCTGGGGACATGGTTTAGTGGTGACCCTGGCAGTGCTGGGATAATAATTTGAGCTGATGATCTTAAAGGGGTTTTCCCACCTTTATAATTTTGTGATTTTAAACTTAAAGTTCCTGAAGAACATTTTCCTCTCATTCACCTCTGGCTCAGCCACTCCGTAATACGTCATCCCACACTGCCCTCCAGCACCCCTGAGCCTGGATGGGGCTTGAGGAACTCACAGTGATTGGTAAATGCTCCATGAACCTGGAGGCCTTGAGGAAGCATTTCAGGTGAATAGTACCATCCTCTCATGAGGCACCCTCATCTGTCAGGGGTCTTTGAGCAATATTTGTGTTGATAGAGTCTGACTGGGAGAGGGTGCAGTTGCTGCAAGTCACAGTGACAGGTACAAGCTGCTGTCACCCCCTGGAGATGCTGTTGAGGGGAGATGCTCTGTGACTTGTGATTTCCAGGCAACTCCACCTTGTGATTCCTGCATGGACTTGGTGTTCCAAGGTGGGAATTCTTTCCCAGGTCTCCCTTCCAGATCAGCAGCCCTGTCCCCAGGGAGCCAATGGCAGCGTGGCTCTGCGCATTAGCCTGGCCCGTCACCTCACTGATTCCCTCCTGGCTAATCCGGGCTGAGCCGGGCTGGGCTGAGCAGGGCTCGGCTGCTGCCCATGGCTGTGCCCACCCCACTGCCCCCCAGCCTGCGCCGGGGCCTGGTGGCCTTCAGTGGCTCCCTCTTCATCAACAACAAGACGTGGGACAGCGGCACTGCCCCCAGCTCCCAGCCAGGTATGGGCATGGGGCTCTGTGGAGGGGGGCTTGGGAACAGGGGCTGTCTGTCCATCCCCATGGCCCTGCTCTGCACATCAACAAAGCCCCTGAGTGCCTCTGAGGCAGCAGCACCCAAAGGGTCCCTGAACCCACCCATGGGGGAGGGGAGCAAAAATAAGAACATTTGCTGCAATCAGCTGCTTGTGGGACCCAGGGTCTGTCGCTCCCCTCAAGCTGTGAGGGGGGTCCCTCTGGGCAGGGGGACCCTGGGGCTGGTGAGCAGCCTGCCCATCCCTGCCTGTCCTGCCTAGCTCACAAGGTGCTGTCCAGCCTGCCCCTCCAGGTGATGCTCTACTTCAACGTTTACTACTTCCCAGTCTGGTGCCTGGCTGAGGGGATTATGCTGCACCTGAAGGTACCATCCCATGGGGCACGCAGGGATGGGGGGAGCTGCTCCTGCCATGTCTCCCTAGGCATGGGTGGGGGACAAAGGGGGCAGCAGACAGAGGAGACTCTTCAGAATTAATGGATCCCCAAAATGCCCTGACCCCCAGGAGAAAAGATTGCTCATCTCTGCTAGAGATAGAAATCATGAACTTTCCAGGCAGGAATGGTCAAAATGGGGGGGAAGAGTAGGCGGAGCTGGGCACTAGCATGGTGAGAGCTGGCAGAGCATGGAGAGCTGGGTATGGGGAGGAGGGCACAGGGAGCTGGGCGTGCACAGGGAAAGGGAAGCTGAGCATGGACAGCTGGACTTGGACAAGGCTGTGCCCCCATAACAGTACCACCTGCTGCCGTGGCACTATCAGTTCCTGCTGGTCACAGCCTTCCTCATCCTCTCGCTGGCTGAGGGCTCTCGCCTCTACCTGGGCTACCTGGGGAACCTCCAGGAGAAGGTAAGCACTGGATATCCCTTCGCTTAGGAGCCATGTGCCCGTCACTGTCCTTTCTCTGGAGGTCTACCTGGAGCTGTGCTAGAAGAGAATCGTGGGTAAAGGCATGACCTGGAGAGAGGGATGAAGGGGACCCATTTGCCCTCCTGCTGTGTCCCTCCACGGGGGGGTTTGACAGCATGTGACCACAGCTCAATGGAGCAGGGACATCCCTGGTGCCCGTGTTCCAAGGGCAGCAGAGGCTAAGGCAGGAGCCTCCAGGGGCAGAGAGGGTCCCCCCAGGCCACCACTGCCTCCTTGCCCTATCTCAGCAGGTTCTGATCCTGCAGGTGCCTGAGCTGGCTGCGTTCCTGCTCCTCTCCTTCCTGATCCAGCTGCCCCTCCTGCTCTTCCTGCTGTCAGACAGGCAGGTCATCCACCTACCGCTGGAGGTGCCCCTGCACAGCTTGTTCCTGGCCTTCCTCCTCCTCGAGATCGTGGCTGCCTTCCTGGTGCTGAGGACTATGACCAAGCAGCTGGCAGCACAGTTCTACCTGCGGCAGTTCCAGGAGGGTGGCAGGGGCCGGCTGGAGCCTGGGGGCACAGGGGGACAGGCAGCCGGGATGGGCTGATGCTGCATGACCCCTCCACCCCACACAGCTGGTCCTGGCAAGGAGCATTAAACAGTGCTCAAACCCACAGATGCTGCTTGTGAGCTTTGTGGAGGCCCCAGAGCAGCACCCAGGCACAGCCCAGCTGATCCCTGCCTTGCACCAGCTAATGCAGCCTGGGAAAAGTGGAGGGAGGGGTCAGCACCTCTGAAATGTTCTGGCTCACCCCAGGGCTGTGCCTGTCCTTGCTGAGCATCAGCCCTGACAGGAGGCAGCAATCAGGGTGCAGGAGCCACTGCACACCCTTAGGAAGTACCAGCCCAGGGCTGGAACTTAAAACGTGCCTCCTAAACCCTCCCTGAGCTTCCCAGGGAGCTTCTGAGGATCCCGGTGGCCTACACGAAGCTGTCCCAGCTGGAAGGGTGCCACGAGGTGCAGGAGCACACTCCACAACTTTACAGTCCCTCCAGGGCTAGAGACAGAGCAAAACTTCTTCCCACTTCAAGAACAGCTTTATTCCATTGCATCCCTGTTTTTCAAGGGAAATCAAGGCCCATGATCACTGGAACATGGAGAAATGCAAAATGCTTTAAGCAGCTGCTCCCCAGTCCCCTCTGGGGGAGCTCTGTGGGCAGCTCTGCTCCAGCACCGGCTGTCAGTGCTGGGAGCTGCCCCGGCATGGCTTGGTGCCCCAGGAGCCAACAACTGCTGCTGCTGCTGCTGCCAGTGCTTCTGCAGGGAAGGCAGACCCCAACCCCAGCAGTGCCCACCTGGGCCAGCAGGGCCCTCCTCCACCAGGGCTGCAGCCGTGTCCCCATTGTATCCCCCTGCAGGTGGCTCTGCAGGGAAGGGCGTTTGTGGTGGAGCGTTCCCAATGTCCCTAAGCTGTGGCCTTAGGCTTACCTTTAGGGGGTCTTGCCTGCAAAATGAACAGGGACATCAGTATACAACAGGCATGGAGGCAGCCCAGATGGCCCTTGGCTACTCTGCTTGGTTCCATGCAACCACATTCACTGCCCACCCCACTCTGGATTCGAGATCAGGCATTAGGAAAGTTTCCCCCCTCATTGGATGGAGCAGCTTTGGGACAGTTCACCAGGAGATGGGGGATCTCAGCCCTCAGAGGCTCCAAAGACTTGGCCAGACAAAGCTGGAAATGACCTGAGGCAGGGTTGCCAGCTCTTCTGGTCTGTAGGAGCCTCCCTGTGACTCCCTGATTCACCAGGGCAGTGAATTCCCACAATGTAATCATGCTTAGCACATGAACCTGTCAATGAACCACAGATCAGGATGTGCCCTGAGGAGCTGGCACCTCTCTGCATGGAGTCCCCTAGGATCCCCTTTGGAAGAGGGTGAAAAGCACAGAGCTGGGTCAGTTTTCCAGGTAAGGTCTCCATGGTGACAGTAGCTGAGGTCATGGTGCAACTTTCCCTGACTCCCAGCACCAGCTGGATCCCTCTCCCAGTTCAGACTAGCAACCAAGTCCAAAAGTTGAAAACTAAGAGCTGCTCCACCAGGTTTTCCCCTGATCTTGGGAACTGGGTTTTAACCAAATGGCAGAAAACTATTAAATCCAAAATTAGTCACTTCAAAACCTCCTCTCTCCCATGTGGCCCTCTCCTTACCTCTTCAAACTTCTCCTTCCAATAAAGGTCAGCCTTTGCATCAAGGTAGAGCAGAACCAGGTCACAGACCATTGTAGCCTGGAGACAGACAAACATTGAAGATGGGAACCTTCCCACAGCAATGCCTGGCCTTCCATCCTGGCTCCCCCTGAGCTCTGCTGTGAGCATTTGCTAGGGCAGCGAGCCAGGCCTGCCTCCAGCCAGCTCCACTGGCTCCTCTCTGACCCAGCCGGCTCCCAGGAGCTGCACAGGAGGCCAGACAGGATCCCCAGGCTGCAATGGATGGGCAGGGAGGGCTGTTCCAGCACCTTCACAGTCACATATGGACTGGGATGAGCATGTCAGGGGGGAAAGGGGCACAGGTGGGGGACCTCCCTGTTATCTGCTGGAAGGGAAGAGCCACAGAAGGGCTCCACAAGCTTCTGCCCCACCATAGTGACAGGACACTGCATCCCTTCAGTCAGAGGAGAAGCAGAGAGGAGCTGCTCTCTCCTGCCAGCAGCATCCCAGTGATGCTCTGTCCCAGGATCCACACATAAACCTGACCACCATGAGACGTGATTCTGCCAGCACTCAGCATCCCAATGCAGTGGTGTCATTACTGATGGTCACAGGGAAACCTGAGCTGACACCCTGCCAGACCATCTCCCCTCTGTGCTGGCTACCACTAAGGAAGCCTTGTGCCAGGCAGGCAGGCAGGGAAACAACTAAGAAGTGGCAATTCCCAAGGCATAGACCAAAGGAGAAGAGTGTATCTGGAGTACTCACAGCACCAAAGAAGGCAATGCTGGTGCAACAGCTCACAGCAGTAGGAATAATGCTGAACTTCCCAGCCTGGTGAGAAACAGTGCAGGGGTAAGAGAAAGTATGAAGAGTGGTCAGAGGGTGAGAAGCTTGCGGGGCAGCATGCTCAAAGTCAGGAGGTGCTGGAAGGATCCAGGGATATTTCCCCATGCTGATTTGTAGGAAATGCTGTTGTACTGACTCCAACCCCCTTTGGTAGTCAAAGAAGGGACTGAGGTGCCTGATGACCTGGAAGCAGCAGAGGTTACTGTGACCCACCTGCTCCTGCAGGCACAACATGAACTTTCCTTTGCTGCAGCTGCCACCTATGGAACCACATCCCAGCAAACACAACCCTGATGTGATGTATCCCTCCCTTCACAAAGCAGTCTAGTGATTTCTCCTCTGGCTGTTCTCTCCTGCTCCACAGCTCCTGGACCTGCTCTCTCAGCCTAGAAGTGGTACACCCTGTCCTGCACTGTGTGCTTCACCTTCTTCAGGTACAAAGGGCACTGCTGAACATGAAAGACCAGCTGTGGACATCTCTCAGTGTGGGCAGTGCTCTCAGCACAGCTCCCTCTTTGGAAAGCTAAGCACCGAGTTTGTGAGTGATGCTGCACAGAGTAGCATCAACAATCTTGGAAACATGGAATAATTTGGGTTGGAAGAGACCTTAAAGCTCATCTCATTCCACCCCCTGCCATGGGCAGGGACACCTTCCACTACCCCAGGGTACTCCAAGCCCCATCCTACCTGGCCTTGGACATTTCCAGGGATCCAGGGGCAGCCACAGCTTCTGCGGGCAACCTGTGCCAGGGCATCATCACCCTCACAGGGAAGGATTTCTTCCCAATATCCCAACTATCCCTGAGAAGCCATTCCCTATGCCCTGTCCCTCCATTCCTTGTCCCCAGTCCCTCTCCAGCTCTCCTGGAGCCCCTTCAGGCCCTGCAAGGGGCTCTGAGCTCTGCCTGGAGCCTTCTCCTCTCCAGGTGAGCACCCCCAGCTCTCCCAGCCTGGCTCCAGAGCAGAGGGGCTCCAGCCCTGGAGCAGCTCCATGGCCTCCTCTGGGCTCACTCCAGCAGCTCCAAATCCTTTTGTTGGGGACACCAGAGCAGGTGCAGCACTGCACTTGAGCAGGGCAGAGAAGCAGAATCCCCCTTTACCTCCTGCCCACAGTGCTGAGGAGGAGTGCAGGGCACAGGGAGTTTCCAGGCTCTCAGTGCACATGGCTGGGGCATATCCAGCCTCAATCACACTACACCTTTTCCCCCCGAGGGTACTTTTAATCAAGAAGGGAATAATTGTCCAGGTTCAGCAGAGTTCACGTTGATCTTTGTCAGGGTGTTCCCACCAAAAGACTGTCAGAGGGACACCCTGAATCCCAGTTCACCTTGCCTACTGAGCACTCCATGGCCCCCATGTCAGACCCTCAGAGAGGGAACTCCCCCTCCTCAGGGTATAACCAAAAGGTTTTTCTTCAAACAGGAGAGACTGTTTTCTCCTGCTCTGCTTAGAGAACTCTGGGAAGAAGTGAAGAGTTCACCCAGGTGGGGAGAAGTGAGGGCAGCAGAAACCACGGGGGCAGGGTGGGAGCCGTGGTGCGAGGAGTCAGCCCTGGGGCGGAGAGCTCCCGGTACCTGGCCGTGCACAGAGAGGTCAAAGCGGATCCCGTAGAGCTTCAGCAGGTTCCGGTAGAGCTGCCGCTGCGAGCCCCAGTAGTAGGAGGCTGTTCTGTGGGAGACATTGGGATGGCTCAGAAAGGCACGGAGGGAAGGGGGTGCCAATGCCAAAGGACTGCTGGACCTCTGGGTTCCTGCGTGTCCTACAGGCTGGGGACTGGGCATACACGTGCAGTGATGACTCACTGGCACCAACAGCGGGGCATCAGCATCCCCTCAGCATCCAGTTTGGGTCACTGGGAGCATGCAGCTCTCAGTGTGCCCAGCCCAGGTGGGGACAGTCACAGGTCCCTGCCCTCAGGCGGGAAATGCCCTGCTCCTCTGCAAACACAAAAGAGCTACAAGCCTGGGAATTGCCACAGCAACCCTGCACTGACAGGCCCTGCCCTGAGCTGCCATTTCCCAATGCCTTAAAGGTCTCTAAGATCTTTAAGTCCAAACAAGTAACCCAGCACTAACTCACGTCCCCAAGTGCCACATCTACAGAGGTTTTAAATCCCTCCAGGGACAGGGACTCTACCACTGCCCTGGGTAGCTGCACCAGGGCTGGATAAACTTTTCAGTGAAAAGATTTTTTTTCTAACATGCAATCTAAACACTCCCATAGTGCAACTTCAGGCTGTTCCCTCCAATAAGGCTCCTTGTTGGGCCTGGGAGCACAGCCCGACCCCCCCGGCTGTCCCCTCCTGTCAGGAGCTGTGCAGAGCCACAAGGGCCCCCCTGAGCCTCCTTTGCTCCAGGCTGAGCCCCTGCCCAGCTCCCTCAGCCTCTCCTGGGGCTCCAGCCCCTTCCCAGCTCCATTCCCTCCCCTGGACACGCTCCAGCCCCTCCAGGTCTCTCTTGTCAGAAGGGGTCCAGATATGCCAGGACTGCAGATGCCCCAGCAGTGCCAGCACAGATCAGGTGCCCTTCACCTTCCTGCCCACCTGGGCACACCTGGGTTCACATTCATCTTCAGGTCCTTTCCTGCCTGCACCTTTCCAGCCACTCTGCCCCAGCCTAGAACATTCCATAGCATAATCTGGCACTTGATCTTGTTGAACCTCACACCACTGGCCTCAGCACATGGATCCAGCCTGTCCAGTTCCCTCTGCAGGGCTTCCTGCCTTCCAGTAGATCCACACTCCCACCCAGCTCAGTGTCATCTGTGAACTGACCGAGGCACACTGCCTGTCCCTGCTGCTCCTTTCAGAGCATCCATCAGAACTGAAATCTCAAACAACTGCCATGTGCTGATCCCACAGGCCTATGTGGCCACTGTCTCAGCATCCTCACCTGAAATTGTACCTCATGTCCTGCAGGCTGAAGGAATACTGTGGTTGGCACTGGGTAGCAGGGTGGTCCAGGTCGCAGTTCCACTCAATAAGAACTCTGATGCTTCCCCCCTGCAAAACACATTTTATTCCAGGAGAAGCACGGAATCAGATTAGATGAGTCATTAACTGTTCAGACATTCCCAGATCACATATTCCCTTAGCATTTCAGGTCAGTCCTCTGCTTCTTGCTTGCATCCTTGGGGAATTTTGAATTGCCTTCCACAGTTGTATAAAAAACAAGTACCAGCAGCATGAGGTCTGCAAAGTTCTGTCCAGCTGCCTCCACCATGTCACGGACACGGAACACAGGGCAGGAGGGGTTGAAGACTGGATCATATGTGCAGCTCTTGAAATAGCTGGGGTCACTGGTTTGTAAAGTGTTGCACCTGAGACAGGAGAGAGGGGAGGCAGGGGTCTGGGAGGTCATGGAGCCCAGCTGTGGGACTGCAGAGGGGACCCTCCCATTGCATTGGGCCTGCCAGTGCTCCTGCATCAGGATGGGGAGACAGTCAATGCCTCGCCTAAAGCCTCAGATGGAAGAGGGTGGAGACAAACCAGCCCAGAGGAATCTCACATGGAGTTATCCTCTATAGCATGTGCCATGGCCTTCCCTTCCACCTCTTTGTGCTCCTTTGTTTCTTCCCAGCACCCAGCTCTGGTCTCTGCTACGGGTAACAGCAGGGACAGTTCATGCCATATCTCCTGCCACGGTAAGGCAGCACAGCCAGCGTGCCTGGAACTGTGGGGCCAGTGCAGCCCTTTACGTGCCTTCTGTGAAACCACTTTGCAAGGACTAAAAGACAAAACTATTAGTTTCACTTCCAAATGAGAGCTTGGGAATGGCTGGCCTTGTCCAGCTCTCTGCAGTGCTCTACATGTGCAGATGGACACCCGTCCCTCTCTCTGAGGTGTCCCCATCCCACTGCTCTTAGAGCTGCACACCCAGGACAGCTGAAGTGACCTCAACACCTGTCCTGCCCTGACTGCCCCAGCACCACCTGCCCTGGGTGCCACTGGTTCCACGAGTGCTTCAGCTCCTCAGCCCCATCGCAGGCTCAGTGCCAAGGCTGGACCAGGCTGCATGCTCAGCCCAGCTGGGAAGTACTGTACTTACTTGGAGAAGTTAAATTTGGTGAAGTGGACAGTATTTTTTATAAAAAGAGTGAAATTCTCTGCCTCAGCCAGAAGAGGTTTCCTAGAAAACAACCACCAACAAAGTCAAGTCTTGCACAGTGGCCAAGGCCCTATTTCCCAAGCTCTGCAGTCTCTCCTGCAACCCCAAGATTTTGGCTACAATGGACAGGTGCAAAAAATGCTCTTGGGTGACGCCCTCTGAGTTTAACTGACCAGAAAGTCAATGTCAGAGGTCTCCCAGAGCCTGGTTGTCCCTTGGGCACATGTGGTCAGACTCCTGGTAACACAGAGGGAGAGACCCAAAGCTCCCAATATCTGCTGTCTCCTCATGTGTGATTACCTGGGCAGGGTGCTATTCTCCACAGGACACCAGCCATAGATCTCACAGGTGGAATGGGTGGCATTGAACATCAAACATTTCCCAGTTTTTATCCCTAGAAACAAGACAATATAAGACAGGCTGAGAGAGTTGGGGTTGATCACCAGGAGAAGACTTTGGAGAGATATCAGAGCCCCCTCCAGTGCCTAAAGGACCTCCAAGAGAGCTGGAAGGGGACTTGGGGCAAGAGCCTGGAGAGACAGGACACAGGGAAGGGTGTCCCAGTGGCAGAGGCAGGTTCAGATGGGATACTGGGGAGAAATTGTTCTCTGTGAGGGTGGGCACGCCCTGGCACAGGGTGCCCAGAGCAGCTGTGGCTGCCCCTGGATCCCTGGCAGTGCCCAAGGCCAGGCTGGACACTGGGGCTGGGAGCAGCCTGGGATAGTGGGAGGTGTCCCTGCCCATGGCAGGGGGTGGAACAGGATGAGCTTTAAGTTCTTTTTTAACCCAAACCATTCTAGGATTTTCTTTCTTTAGCAAATCAAACAGTACCATTGCCATGAACCACAGGGTTTCCCATGGGACAATCTGCATCTTCTTTGCACATCCCGTCGAGGACAGAGGGACTCTGGGAGAGACAGAGAGAGGTGCTGTCACTGTGCTGTGCAGCTGCCTGAGGCCATGCTGTCACTCCCCTGCATTGTTGCACTGCTGCTCCTGCTGCTTCCCAGACAGACATAAACATCCAGCAGCCTCTGGCCAGTCAGAAGAGAGGCATGTCCAAAGGGCAATCTTTCCTCTCCAGAGTACTTGTGTCCTGCTGCTTGGTGGCAGAGGAAGCCTCAGGAGCTACCTCAGACCTTCCAGATGGAGCTGGGAACCAGCACAGAGGGATTCAGGAGGGCCCTAATGACTGAGCCCTTAAGCACCTTGTAAAGTACCATGATGAATTCCCTGGGGAAGAGCTTAGTAGACCCTAAACCTAGCATGACACAAGTTTTTCAAGAGACCTTCACCCTTACTCTGGACCTACCTGATTGTCAGGAGCAGTAAAAGCTCTAATTCAAACACAGAAAGATGATCGTAGATGGGGAAACACCATCAACACCTCCCCCATCTAGCCCAGGCCATAACAGGAGTCACCAGCTCATCAAAAACCTACTCCCCAAGCTTTGAGGGCACAGAGGCCCAAATGCAGGAGGGAAACCCTCAGTTATGTGCTCGGCAGTGGGGTCTGTTCAGGCCTTCCCTGGGCTGCCCCAGCACAGCCATTCGTTCAGTTGTAAAACCCACCAACATGATCTTAGAGGAGCAGTATCTTTGGGCTGGGTAGGGTCTGCTAGGGATCTGGAATCATTATGGGATGCAGGAGAACATCTGGGGATTGCACCAGGTGTTTAGGGAATGGGAGGAAGAGAAGGCATGGGAAGGAGGGAACTTGGTAGTCTGAAAAGGAACATAAAGAGATAAAAGGATGCAAAGACTTAAGTGCATGTACAGCTGCTGAAACAGCTCGGCTCATGTTCAATGCTGCCTCTGGCCACAGACAAATTCATATGCCAGCACCAAATACTCTGGTCATCAAGAATATTAAGGCAAGTCAAACTCCCTGCAAAGCCAAAAGCTGCCACTGCTAAATATTCAAAGCTTTCCAAATATGAATGTCATCTACAGTCCCAGTGCCAGGAACTGAGGAGCTCTTGGAGACTAGCATGGGGTGTAGGCTGGTACAGGCACCCACACACACCCCAGCTCTGGAACAGAATGAGATCCTCAGCTCTGCATGTCCTCGGCTTGCACACTGCAAACCCAGCACCTGGAGGTGCCTGTGGCTGCCTGGGAGAACCCTGAAATGCCCTACAGCAGTTGTCTTCCTCCCTGTTGGGACCTTAGGATTTCTCAGCATTTTAAAGATGGATCATTGGTGCCATTTTCCCCAACCCAAACCCAGTGTTTCTCCTCTTCTGCAGCATTTGGCCACAGCAGGAGCTGAAAGGACCCTTAGGACAATTGGTGCTTGACTCGGGTACAAAGTGCCAGCAGCGGTTCAGCTTAAAGGACATTTGCTCCCATCTGCTCAGCAGAGGAGCTGGCCTGACTCCAGCCTTAAAGGGAAGAATTCTTCCAGAGAACATTAACAATTAATTGTGGCATAGCTGGAAAACCATCTAGACCTCGTGCTCTGTTCCCCCTAAAAATAGGACACTAAGATGGACACTAGTACTGCAGCAGGGAGCTATCAAGGAAACATGACACAGGTATCCATGGATTGTGTGTCAAGGCATCCTCTTGTTCAAGGGCAGCAGAAAGCCTGGAATGGTCATACAGTGCCACCACACAAAGAGTTCAGAGCTGGAGAGGCCCCATGTCCCCTGTCCTGGCCAACAGAAACACTTCTGATAGAGCATATGCATACACATCTTGGCTAATGAAGGTATGACAGAGCAAGTTCAGATGTGCTGGGGAGCGCTATGACTGAGTGAGTATGAGGGGTATTGGGTTTTGTGGGAATATAAATCCATTTTCCCTTTTATCTGGTCTTCCACTGGGTTCTGCTGAGCAGCAGAACCACCGGCTCCATCTCACCCTCATGAGGCCGGGCTGGGGCAGGTCCATTCACTCACCTCAGGGCAGGTGCCTTGGGCTTGCTGGACTGTGGCGATGAAATGGGTCACCAGGAAAAGCACATTTTCTCCCTGGGAAGCAAGAAGGTGCTGTCAAAGGGAGGCTGACACCAGGGTGGGTCCAAGGGGACGCCCTGCGACACCACGGGCAGAACAGGCACTAATGGACTTGCCAGGACTTGGGAGACCTGTGGTACCCGCGGCATCTCCTTGTCGAGATGACTGACCGTATGTGTGACCTCCCTGTCCCCCCCGGGGCCCGGCCGTACCTGCGGGGGCCAGGTGAGATCCGCAGCGTCCCAGAGCCGCCGGCCCGCGGCCTCGGCGACGGCCGCCCCCTTCACCTTGGTGACCACGGCGACACGCGGGGCTGTATCGCGCTCCTGGTACCCCTTCCGCAGCAGCAGCACCCACCTGCGGATGTGCGGGGGGCTCTGAGGGACCCCCGGCCTGCCCGAGGGCCGGGAGGATGTCCCTGTCCCAGCGGGGAGCGGCCAGCCCGAGGGCACGGGCCCTACCCCAGCAGATAGCCGAGCGCGCTCAGCTGCAGCAGCCGGTGCAACAGCCCCACCCGCCGGTTCCGCGTCACAGAGAACTTGGCAGTCTTGTAGTCGAGCAGGGACCCGCAGGGTGGGCCCGGCATGGTGGCACCGGGGGAAAAGGCGGGCACGGTGAGGATAGCGGCACTGAGGGCAGAGGGGAGCACGGTGAGGATAGCGGCACTGAGGGCAGAGGGAAGCACGGTGAGGATAGCGGCACTGAGGGCAGAGGGGGCACGGTGAGGATAGCGGCACTGAGGGAAGAAGCGGGCACGGGGAGGATAGCGAAACTGAGGGCAGAGGGGAGCACGGTGAGGATAGCGGCACCAGGACGGAAAAGCGGCCCCGGCGCCAGCGGCCGCAGTCACTGCAGGCCCGCCCCGCCCCTCCCGCAGCCCCGCCCCGCCCCTCCCGCAGCCCCGCCCCTCCCCGTTGCCATGGCGGCGGGGACGGGGAGAGCTCTCGGGCCGGGCCTGCAGCCCTCACACCGGGACGGGGCCGGGGCACGGCGGCCGTGACAAAGACACACCGGCCGTGACAGGGACACACCGGCCGCGGGGCCTGCCAGACAGCCGGGCGAGCCTCCGCCGCTTCCAGCCGCGGGCTCTCCCGAAAACGAGCATCCCAGAATGGGTTGGGCTGGAAGAGGCCCACCCAGTACCACCCCTGCCATAGCAGGAACACCTCCCACTGTCCCAGGCTGCTCCCAGCCCCAATGTCCAGCCTGGCCTTGGGCGCTGCCAGGGATCCAGGATGGGCACCCTGTGCCAGGGCCTGCCCACCCTCACAGGGAACAATTCCTAATTCCCAATATCCCATCCATCCCTGCCCTCTGACACTGGCAGCCATTCCCTGTGTCCTGTCCCTCCATCCCTTGTCCCCAGTCCCTCTCCAGCTCTCCTGGAGCCCCTTCAGGCCCTGCAAGGGGCTCTGAGCTCTCCCCTGGAGCCTTCTCCTCCCCAGGTGAGCACCCCCAGCTCTCCCAGGCTGTGCTAAACCAGTACAGACCAGTTCCCGACCAAGGGAGGGACAATTTTTCTTTCCAGCTAATGAAAATGATGTAATTCCTCTGGATGGTGGAGCAGCCCAAGCTTTACATCAAGGATACGTCAAGGACCCATTCCAGACTGCCCTGCTGGAGGTTTGGGGACCTACCAGAGCCCAGGGCTCACCACATGAGATGGACGGTGGCCAGCAGAGGGGATTTGCCATCAGACTGTTTTGAAGTGCTCATGAACCAGAATTGTCTCCTGCCCTGGATGCAGGTGGGATGGGATGTGTAAATGGATCAGTACATCTCAGAAAGAATTTTTCTTTATGTCATCTCCCCTGGAGTACTCCATATTTTTAAATTAATATTTTTAGGAAGAAATGATAAACCTTCTGTACATTCATGACAGGTAGTCCCACCTGAAGTTGCTTTCAGCAGGCACAGCATTCTTAGAAATGTGTAGTTTGGACCATAAAAGAGTACAGTCTTTCCTACTCATTTTTGATGGTAAACCTTTTTTTTTGATGATAAACTTTTTTGTTAAGTTTATTTTTTCTGGAATAGTTCTCTGAGGTCCCTTAATTTTCCTGTCTCTACTATCTGTGGATGGAGAAAATAATTTGATTTTGTAGTATCTTTTGTATAATCACAAGGTCATGGCCATGCTTCTGTTTAACTGTAAATATTTCTGAAATGCTGTGTGCCAGATCCATGTTTTCCCTGGGTGTCTTTCATGCAAAATTCAATGTCCACTCCATCCACTGCTTTACAATCCTCAGTCCTCACATATCTCACCCACTACAGCCTCCTCCTTGAACATCCTTTGTGTCTTCAGTGGCCTTCTTTGGCTCACAGGAGAGGAAACAACCTTAATCCTCCCCACTTCTGGCCCCCAGGAACAGACCAGCCTTCCACCTCCTTCATTCCAAGTTCCTGCTTGCTTTCCTTGACTTTACCTTTGATGGCTGCAGTGGCTGCTCGTCACCACCCCTGTCCTCCTCACCTCCTGGTCATTTTACAGTCCAACAGTTCTCCTCAGCTGGCTTGGCTTCAGGCATGGACATGTTTTCCTTTTCATTTGTCCTTTTCATTTGTCCTTGCCCACACCATTATTTTTTTCCTGCCCCATTGGAAACTCACAGAACACTTGCTGAGCAAACCTATTTGGATTTCCAGCATCTCTGGGAGGGGTTCCAGGACCAGGAGCTCCCTGGCAGGCCCCACCAGCAGGAGAAGGAGCAGCGCAGTCCCAGCTGCCCTGTAAGCACCAGCCCCTGGCTTTGTTACACTTTCAGTCCCTCTTTGCTGCCTTGGCAACACGAGGTCAAAGAACGGAGATGCTTCACTGTCTGGCAGCTTCTGCTTTGGGCTCGTGGTAAATGAAGTAGGAAAAGATGTTTAAATCCCCTAGAGGTAATACAGACAGTTGCAGAGAAGTACATTAACCAACCCAAGCTTCCTTTTAACTCTTAAGCTGTTTGGTTTCATGTATTTTTTCTTAGGGGAGATTTTTGGAAAGGCTGTAGCAGAAAACATTGGATTAAACTTAGAATCAGCTGGAACCATTTCCATAGCCAAGAGCAGGTGCCTTGGCCAAAGGCTTGGAGCAGGGAATTGTTTTCACTCCTGTTGTTAAACTGTGAAAGCTCACATGAAGCTGATGTGCTGTTGGCCTTGTGCCTGTGCCTGTCCAAGAGTCATTTATGACCTGGGAGCACATGGACCTTGGAATTAAGAGGGGAAAATCATCCAGTATCTATGGGCATGTCACAGATGTTTTCATTTCTCTGTTTCTAGATTTTTCCTTTTTAGAGTCAAAATTACTATAATGAATGTTTTGAATGGTTTTAATTTCTGATTCATAAATCAATACAGATATTGTTTTGTAGTCTGTATATTGTTTTTATTCTACAAAAATTTTACTCACCTAAATAAGAAGCAGTTCTTCCAGCCTCTGAGGCTGAAAGAGACCACATGTTGGTGGTTAGTGGTGAGTTGGCAGTGCTGGGTTAATGGTCTTAGAGGTTTTTTTCAATTAAAACATTCTGTGATTCTATAAAGTTTATCTTCTTTAGTTGAAAATAATGATATTATTTACCCAGCAGGGTCTGTCCTATAAATGTACAAATCATTTTATAGTTATGTATCTAGTAAATCAAGCCTGTGCTTTGGTCTCAGAACTGTCTGTCCAAACCATTTGCAAATGTAATTTATAAATACAGGCTGCAGGCTTTAAATTTGCGCTGTCTCTAAAAACATCAGAACCATCCTGACACTGCCTCAGTCTCCAGATGAAAACTTTCTGTATTGAACACAGAAGCTTTTTGGGCTTGGTTTAAATCAGTGTTAGTACTTATATTTTAAAATACTTTTTATCATTTATTGCTTCTGTTATGTCCTTTGCCCCTAGCCCTCCCTGCGCTCTCCAAACAAGAGATGCAGATTAAAATCCTATGAAACAGTACACTCCAAGTCTGTCCTTATTCACCAGCTGCAGAAGATCCACTTGCCCATGTTTTGACACATTAACTTGTCACTAGAGTCAGAACTGTGTGGTTTTAGTGTCAACAAACCTATCAGCAAACCACTTGAGAACCTGAACACACCAGGTGAGCCAGCAGTGTTATTCTGGGCAGTGTCACTGGGATGGGGACCTCGGGCATCCCGCTGTCCTGAGGGACACCGAGCACAGGCCTGCCTTGTTCCCAGGGGGGGTTTGCCTTTCAGAGGGCTGCCAGGAGAAGAGGGAGCTGGAGCTGGAGCTGCCCGGGAGGATTGTGTGGGAATTTGCTGTGCTTTGGCAGCTGCTGCCAAGGGTTGTGAGGAATTAACATGTCGGGACTTACTCTGAGAACTGTAGTTCTGTTAGGCTGAAATATCAGTTACTCCAAATTTATCTGCTGATCTCCCCTGCTGGAATCACTGTTCCTCTTTCCTCAAATTCAGTTGTGTTCTCTCTATGTTGGAAACCAATCTTGGAATAATTCACCAGAAGACTTGTTGAATCCCTGTTCACAAGGGATTCAATGATTCTAGTACTGAGCCTTTTTTTTTTTTTTTTTGGTCCAAGTGTCAATTCCATGTTGTTCCTTTTTGTTTTCTTTGCAAAAGTGACAGATAGCAGCTGGCTGCCTCATGAAGGTGTTACAGCACACCAGCACTGCTGCCTCTTTCCAGGTCCTGAGTCGGAGCACAGAGGTTACACAAATCCACACTGATTGCCACTAATGGTATTTATCCAGAATTCTTGAGTAGCTCTCACTTTGCTCAGTGGCCTTTTGAAGCCTTGACTGTCCCTGTCACCTTTCAGAAGGATCTGCTAGCTTGTTTTGCTGCAGTGCTCTGGGCTGCTCCAGCTGCCTGTTTCTGGAAAATGAGCATTACTGCTCCAGGGAAGCTCACTGCCTGATTCCATGTGGAACTTCTCTGGTGTAAGTTACAGAGGTGATCCCAAAGTTCTTCCTGTAGCACTTACTAACTTTGGAGGCAGGGCTGGGCAGTGGAGCCTCCAGCATAGCTCCAGCTGCTCCTGCCACACAGCAAAGGGGTTTTTGTGTTTTCCAAGTATTTTTCTTGAGCACTTTCATTCCTTTAGGATATTGAGTGTGCTGCCATGCCCAGAGGTGCATTGGCTCTTGTTCCAGCAAGGACTGGCTGCCCTAGAATGCTTCTAGCCTGGCAAGAGAGGTGTGGGGTACTGAGAAATCAGCCATCCTGGCTCCAGAGGAGTCACTCGCTGCAGCTCCTTCCTGCCAGCCTCTGACAGATGTTTCACAACCTCAGGCCAAGCTGTCATTGCCTCAGGAAATGTTTCTGGTCTCCTGCCTAAATCTTCCTCATGGCAGTTTCAGTCCACTGCTTCATTCCATGCCTCCTGTGTATGTGGGGAAGATTTATTCTCCTCTTATAGAATCTGTAAGGTTGGAAAAACCCGCTAAGATGACCGAGGGCAGCAGCTGCAGTTTTGTGTGTGTGTGGTGTGTTACATGTGGGGCAATGGCCGTTTCCTGCCTTGCCCCAAAGCAGAGGCAGCGGATCCATCTGGTGTTGGAGGAGCCTGTGCCCCAGGGATGGGCCCACGGCGTTTGTGCCCTTGCTTGCACAGCTCCTTGGAAAGGGCTGAGACAAGAACAGCTGTGGCTGCAGGGCTGCTGAGACACAGCACAAACACTCTGGAATGACCTGGGCACCTGCCTGCCTGACCACCAGC